AAAAAAGAAAAAGAAAAAAAAAAAGCTTGGGAATTAAAACAGGCAAGAAAAGTTAAAAATACTCTAACATCAGCACCAATGCTGTCTAATTAGGTAGTGCAATTAATCCTGCCTGATTATACAGCATTAGATTAGCAGGAATAAACACAATGGCAAAACTGCAGAGAAGGTGAGACCACCGCACAGGAATTAACAGCAATCCCCACAAGAGGCGTCTAAGCTACACAGATAGAAAAGCTGTAATCGACAGTGTTGCATTAGAGCTCATGCTTTGGTTCTGCTTCGGGTATCTCTGCCAAGCACGTTTTTAACAGCTTTTTTTTCCTTTAGTTTCTCTTGTGTTTTGCAGAGCTAAAGACTTAATTATGAAGGTAAGGAAAGGGTTGCAAGGCTGCATAAGGCTCAGATGGCTGGTAAGGAGAGCGGGAGCCTGCGGGGTGAGGAAAGCAATACGCATGCACATGTGGAACCCAGCTCATCTCTGCTGTAAAATGACTCCTTACTAGACCTTATGCAGCTCTTAAAAATTGCTTTGGCCAAGATTTTCTGACACAAATCTGCATTAGAGGTCAGAAATAAGTCTGCCCTCACTCTGAAACATCGTAAGTATGAAAAGACAAACACAAATGCTCTCACTTTCACGGSCTTCAGATCAAATACCTAGAACTGAAGTTCGTGAAAGTCTGAGGACATTAACGTCTTTGAAAATCAGCACAAGCTCCTTTAAGAAGCTAATTACAGATTAAGGACTAAACGTTGAAAATCTGTTTTGAGAGACTCAGCCATCGAGCTTAGGGGACATCCTGTGCAAGAAGCAGCCAAGGAGCCTCTCAACTTATTGGTGAGAATTAGCTCTCGCCAATAGGAATCACGTACTAAGTATYGATGTATTAATAATGTATTATTCTACAAGTAACATCCCCGCTTTACCCAGAATAGTTACATATTTATACATCACCAGAACACACTTTTTTTCCCTTTCTAGTTTTTCTAAAAAGAATAGTTAAAAATATTTTGTAGAACAGCAATGAGCCTAAAAATTAGGAAGCTAAGGAAACTTTTCAGAATGGTTTTGCTCTCCCTCTCTTACACCACAAGTTCAAGGCAGTGGTCTTTAGGGTGCACGAACACTTTCCAGAAGAAAAGAAGGGTCTAATACCTCTTTTGAAGGAACCCGGGAGCCTTTCCTTTTATTCCACCACGTTTCCAACATTGCAATGAAACAGGATAGGACAATCCCAGCGGCGAGGATACAGAAAACCCCTGCAAAACTTTTTATGTCCAGGGCACCGCCTTTCTGCTTGGCGTCCACGGAGGAGTAGAGGTCGCACTGGCCGTTCTTGGGCCACCACTTGTGCTTCAGGAGGTCCATGTCCCCGTTCTGCTGCAGCTCCAGGATCCTTGAGGAGAAAGCACAGAGTCAGGGGTTACACAGGGACATCAGGGAGGCCCCCAGGAGCACAGGGACCTCCAGGTGCCACCATCCCATGGGCCCGGGTAGGCCGAGCAGCTGCTGGATCAGAACAGAYGGGATGAGCCGGGAAAGGAGGCTAATGCAGACATTGCTACACCACGTACCTTGGGCGGTAGCAAAACAACATTCCAGGGTGTTAYTTCTTTCAGCAGCTGCTCTAGGCTCTGCACTGGTCTGTTTTCTCTCTTATTCAGTCATTAATAGAACGACCCTCCAAAATGATTGCTCTGCTCTCGTTAATTAAACGAATCTTCTCTCGTCAGTGTAATTCCTGATTACACAAGACATCCTTTCGACAATAAGTATTTGCGTAAGACACTGAGCTTGAGCTTGTTCCTTAGAAGAGATTTACTCCTAATTGTATTCCTGGAAATCATTGGCACTTTTTCTTTATGAATCTAACATATACATTCAATTTTTTAAAGGAAAGCATAAAAAATGAAGCAGAAACTAGGGACAGTAATTACACGATTACATGGAAAAAAAAGCCTGAGAAATTGGAAGACTGTAATGAAGCCCTGTAAAATTACAGCTAAAAACAGATGTTGGGAGAGAAACTATATATCAAGAGAAATTATGGGAGCATGAATTCCCAACTACACTAACTTCATACGGAGAAAAGGGTGGATCCCAGTTCTACCGGCCTTGGTGAATATTGCACATCTGAATTCAACAGTTTGTGAAACAAAACCAACAGCCTACTGGGAAGGTTTAACACTACCCAGACGCTCTCGGTTATGGGAATTATCATTCCTTAAGGCATCTCCCGAAAACAAAATTACGCTTTTAGGGAAATTCTATGAAAGATGCGCTTGGGAAGGGAGTTATTCCCGCAGGGCGGGCGGCTGGCATGCAGCGGGAGCGCCCCACACGGTGGCAGCCTTTCCTCACCATCCCTCGGGCTCCCCGCACACTCACCGCCAGGAACCTGGTGCCCAGCGGACACCTCAGGCAGCTGGATAGCGACTCTCCGATTTAATCCTCGCCTAAAATAATAACGCAGTAACAAAACGTGATGAATGACGCCGCCGTGCTAAAAGGTGTGATCATCTTCAGCAAGTGCCACGTTTCCTAAGCCCAAGCTTTCTGCAGTTGAACTCGTCCTGCGAGGCTGCAGTGCCAGAACCGTGTTGCAATACTGCAGCACACACAGCAGCTGTAGGAGCAGTGGAAATGAGGAAATAGGATGCGTGTTTTCCCATTATTCTGAAATATCACAGTCTAAAATAAAGGACTTATTGCTAAAAACGTGAGCTTTGAAACTTGCTTTTTAAGCGGGGTGTGGGTTTTGATATATTTTTCTTTAGCTGGCAAACTGAGACAGTAGCACTGGCRGTGATGTAAAGTTATTAGACCGTACAAACCATACAAAACATGTGCACAGACTTGGACTAATTTAGCCCTGGATTCACAGTGCCAAGCGACACCTCGTGGGTGCAAGCGCAGAAAACCAGACCGCCTGCGGTCTCCAAATGTGACACTGACTCGAGCAAATCTGAAGCCCTGGGAATTGGGCTGGATTCACCTCACTAACTCCATACCTCGCTGCTGGCAGTGAGATGTAATTACTCCTCCAAACACCACAGAGAAGAAAAAAAAAAGATCAGCACGATAAGCAAGGCATCACGAGCGCTACAAAACTGGAACATCTCTGACAAGGCTACTTTTCCATCTCGCTGCTTTGTTCTTTCCAAATATGCAAGGGGCAAGAGACATGATGGGTCATTGACAGCAAGGTCAAAAATACCACAGGAGGGTCTGAGATGCAGCAGGTCACCCCCTGGTGGCATCCAGCACCATGGCACAGCATCCAGAGGGAATTACTTGGTGCTTTCCATGGGCACCAAGAGAAGGGACAGTAAGAGGAAGAGGTGTTACCTTGGCCTGAGCTTCCAGATTGTGAGTGCCCCAGAGAGAAGGTGCAAAAAGATGGGGCACATGCAAAAAATGCTGGGAAAATGGCCTGGGGAACATTGGGGACCACTAAACACCTACACATGGGGCCAGACAGTCAGAAGAGCTTAGATACCTCATGGTGGCCAGCAGAGAATCAAACGTCTCAGGCAATAAGGCTCTATTATTAAAAAATTAAATGTATTTTACAAAATTAAACTTTCTTGTGATCATCCTTAGGTTACCACAGAAAGCAAAGGACTGAACGACTATTGGAGTTGACAGAAAGCCAAAGGGTTGCATACGACGCTCAAAGACTTGACTTTGATGCTCTCTTGTGCGCACAAATATTGCCCAACAAGTCAATTTTGCATCCTACTATAATCACTAACTGCTGAGGAGAGTGAAAGAATTATCTTGTTATGCAGGCAGATATACCTGTATGGTTGTGTCCTGCCTGATTCCATGGAATAAAGTCAAAGACAACTGTCATGGTGGGTGGATGGGGAGAAAAAATGTTGACAAAGATACCAGATGGCCAGAAATATAACTTGGAATGTTATAAATTCAACCTTAAAATACATTATCATTTTAGTATCATTTTACTGCTTGTCTTTTTTTCTTTTGTCCATCTTTTCTTATTAAGTATTTTTTGTGGAAAAATGAGATCTGAAGTTAAGGAATCAACTCTAAGTAATCTGTTTAGCCATCTGCCGATGTCTACGAGAAGGATAAATAAATGAGGAGTCCACTCAGCACAATCTGCCAATGAATAAATACTCAAGTCTCATCCTTTGGCTTGCTAAGAAGTAATTGCATGAAAAAAATCTAATTACTAACATGATTAATCTTAAGAGATGTGTTGACTGGAGGAACTTAAATTTTATATGTTCTATATGTTTAAGCTATCTTGTGCTTCTGGTAATGCAAAACATCATTCTTATACAAATTACCTATCCTCTTGTTTCTATTACGAAAATACATATCAGTAGCACTAAGTTATGCTSTTAGTCCAGCACAGCCCATTTCTACAGTAAAAAATCATTTAATTTCCTATTCATTTGGTATTTGCATAAACAAAAGGACTAAGCAGATAGCTAATGAAGCTCTCCAAGCCTCTGAAACTGATTGTTTATCCACTGCTTTTTAAAAAAAATCTAAAAGTGACAAATTAAAACAACATTTTCTTTCAGAAAATGTTTAAATGAGTGATTTATGGATCTTGATTTAAATATCAGCATTTGGATTACAAAAAGCGCAAGTTAAAAGAGCAAGTTAAAAGAGCTTAAAGCTATCTSCAAGGTAAGCAGAGCTGTTGATAAAGTAGGGCAAGCTAAGCAGATAAATACAGTTTGAAGATCATATCAGGGTAGTATTTTTCATGTCTGAAATTTGACATTTAAGAATATTTCACAAGCTCTTAACTCCAAGCTCTTAACTTACACATTATCGGCAGTTTTTCCCGATCCATTCCCACCCAGGATATTAAACATATTTGGGTTTAGAATCAGTCCTTCTGAACTTGAGCACCGCACTCAAGTCCACCTTTAAAAAACGTTAACATTATACTGAGGAGAACCCGCTCCAGACTCTCTGCCCAGGGAGAACCCCTTGGACAGCGAAAGCTAAAAAGTTTAAGTAATCCCTTCCAATAGATTAGAGCTCCAAAATCTAATTTATTAACTRATTCGTTTACAAAGCAAAAGGATCATTTTCTAGAGCCAACCCCCCTACACATTATTTTTTTAGAGCATTTATCAAATCTTCCTAATAAACGTTCTTCAAATCTGCACCTACACGTATGTTGGTTGCCTGCTGAAACCAAGGAATTGGCCCAGTTCCATCTAGGAAATTAATGAGAGTCTCTGCCAAACACAATGGCAAAACGCTGACATTGTGAGTAAACAACAGGGTCTACTATTGTAAGGATCGTTTACCAGCGGGACAGAAGAGGGAATTCAACCATCCTTAGAAAAATTAATGAGATTCCGTGCGCTAAATCTCCTTGCAGTTTGAGAAATGCTACTCTTGGCGTAGCCTCAGTCAAAACACTCGCATCAAATCATCCTTTTGACATGAGACAGTAGCAAGCTACAAATAGACTTGCCCGAGACCCGTGTCCCTGGAAATATTGCCGAGGGCATCTCYGTAGGTCCGTGCCCAGCTCTGGGTACCACCTCCTCCCAGACCTATCACAAAAGTCTTCTTCATGGACACACACGCTCATCAATTTCTCCACCCCTGGCCTTGATGAGCATTCAGATCTGTTAACCTGCCTCGAATGTAGGAAGAAATGATGAAAAATAGCCGAGTGGTTCAACTGTGCAAGCAAAGAAACTGCCTGCCCGCCACACTGAATGCAACCTGTGCACAGTGCAACTTGATATATATGTTACTGCCACCCATCACAACTACGTATGGGGAGATATACTAGGAATTCATCTATTTTTCTTCCTAATAAGACTTCACCTCCTGCAGTGCATCTGTTCACTGCAATGCCTACACCTTGTGTAGGAATTTCTGCTGAGAGGAGATGGAGGAACTTGCTGACAGATTTTGAAAGGACACATTATTGTTCAGGGCCCTTGCAGGCTATCACCAGTAGAAAGGGCAGACTAAGAAGAGTACAAAACCTGCTTAACAGTCCTGGAAATGAATAACTGACGCTTTATTGCCCACCTTCCAGTGCAGCGTGTGTCCTGAGGGGCTGCAGACTACTCTGCACGAGATGCATAAAGTCCATATTATAGACAAGTGCTTTGATAGAAACTGAGTGCTGTTCAATCTGGGTAACAACCTGCACAAGAACCGGGTGTTTGCCCTGTTCACAAAGGCAGGACTCGGGCAATGCCAGSCTCTTCGGGAGGCGCCGCGAGCCAGCGCATCTGTCTTCATATCTGCCCAGCTTGGCATAATTACCTCCCTTGGTGCCTCTGCAGTGCAACGAGCAGGCCCCAAACGTGTCCCTGCACACACAGAACCACATCTTTGGCATCTCCACATCCATGCTTTGGAACAAGGCAGGGCAATCCA